ATTTATTCATTTGAGACACAGAGATAGAGAGAGAGAGAAAGCATGAGCAGGGAAAGAGGCAGAGGGAGAAGCAGGCTCCTCACTGAGCCAGGAGCCTGATGTGGGACTTGATCCCAGGACCCTGTGATCGTGACCTGAGCCGAAGGCAGATGCTTAACCATCTGAGCCACCCAGGTGCCCCTGATAAGGGAGCTTGTTAAAGACACATACCACAGAAGATTCTGGTTCAGGGATCTGGGATGGAGCTAGCTCCAGCCTTTTATCTAGGAACCTGCTGTCAGCCATTGCTCATACCCCAACCCAGGCAAGCTGAACTCATCAGATCAGACACTTCATTCAGGTCTGCAGCAGGAGAAGCTGAACGGCTGGGGACAGGGAACTCCAGGGCCAGAGACCAGGCACAAAGGCAAGGTGGATGGTCTTAGGACAGATTCCTATTGAGGTCTGGGGGCCTGGGGGTGGTCCTTCTCTGCCTGGGGATAGGGCATGGTTCTCTGGCTCCAACTGGGCCAAAGCAAATGCCCTGGGGGCTTTCTAAACCTTGTTCATTAATTAAACAGCAAACATGTATTTGCCCAAGCATCGGGCTCAGTGTTGAAGTTACAGATGGGAGCAAGACAGACAATAACATTTGCCCACAAGGAGCTTATATTCTCATCAGAAACATTAGGCAACATCATATACGTAGTCACCTAGTATGCCAGAAAGTGGAAAATGCAGAGTTGGGGTGACACACTGCTGGTGTTAGTGCTCGAAGAAGTCCTCCCAAGAGGGAAGTGAGAGGGAGTCCTATGGCCAGCTACAGGAAGAGTCCCAGACAGAAGGCACAGGTGGTACAAAGGCCCAAAGTGGAAATAGCTGGTGTGTTTCATGAGCAGTAAGGATGACAGTGCAGTTGCAGGTAATGGAGAGATCAATATTGTGTGGGTCTCATGGACCACTATGATGACTTTGTCTTTTACAAACATGAGGAACTGCTGTGGATTTTCAGCAAACAAGGGAGATGATCTGGTCTACATATCAGAAGAATTATTCTGCCTGCTAAGAGGACAATAAACTGGAGGGGAAAGCTTGGAAGCAGGGACACCAGGTAGGAAGCTCTTGCAACTATTCAAGCAAGAGAAGAAGGTGCCTCTTGGATCAGGGAAAGCAGTGGACATACTGAGGAATGGTTCAATCTTGGGTACATACTGAAGGAATAATCAACAGGACTTCCTGACCCTTTGGATATAGGGTGTGAAAGAAGAGCATCGGGGCGCCTGGGTGGCTCAGTTGGTTAAGCGACTGCCTTCGGCTCAGGTCATGATCCTGGAGTCCCAGGATCGAGTCCCGCATCGGGCTCCCTGCTCAGCAGGGAGTCTGCTTCTCCCGCTCCCGCTCCCCCCTCTTGTGCTCTGTCTCTAAAATAAATAAATAAAATCTTTAAAAAAAAAAAAAGAAAGAAAGAAAGAAAGAAGAGCATCAAGGGGACTCCAAGGTGTTTGGCAGGATCTAGCTACCATGACCTGGCCTGGGGAAGGCTGCGGAGGGGTGGGGTTGGGGAATGATCCGGAGCTCAGTCAAAACACTGTGTTTGGAGATGCCTGTAAGACATTTACAAGGGGAATTGGAATAGCCTGTTGGCTATTGAGTCTGGAGTTCAGGAAAGAGCTCAAGCTAGAAAGAGAAATGGCAGTTTCCAGGTGGTACTTAGGGCCAAGAACTTGGGTTACTGATGAAAGATTAAGTGTGGACAGAGGGGACGAGAGAATTGAAGCCTGGTCCTGGGCAATCTAAGAGTTAAAGGGCCTGACATGAAACTTGAACCACTGCCCTTCTGGTGGCAGGATGCCTTAGAAGATGCCTCAGCCCCTTCCTCAATCAGCAGCCCTAGAGACTTTGGCTTTGGAGGCAAATACCGGCACGAGATGTCCTAGGAGTGAGGCATTGCTTTAATTTCTAACTGCCCTTTCAGGATTGTGGCAAGTTGAGCAGCTTAGGGGTAGTGGCTCCTGGCAGCTCCCTCCATTATGGGTCCTGAGGTAACATCTTAAGGGCAGGTGAGCATCATTTTTCCCCATTCACCTTCTTTCTCACTGTCTTTAAAGGAGCCAGCACAGCAACACTTGTTCTCCAAGCACGACAACCGTTCTCCTTTCGACAAAGTGAGTACTGGACAAAGGAAGGAGAGCGGGCAGGGCCCCAGCCTAGGTTGAAGTTGAGGTAGGGTGGAGGGGATAAGACACGGAGGGGAGGGAGGGCTCCTGACAACCTCTCTTGTCTGGGGAACAGCCCATTCCCCAAACAAAGGTACCTCTGCTTTGGTTTCATCCACTAGCTTGCCTGACAATGCGCAAATATCCTAGGGGCCACTGACTTTCTGGAGGTTTCATCCTGGAATGGAAGGCACGGCTGGGGAGGCAGGCCAAAGAGGCTGGGGTACAGGCCAGGGGAGCCAGGAATCACCAAGTAGGCCTGGGTTGAGGGGGGGCCGAGGGGTGCTTGGTGCCAGGACTGTGGGCCAAGGGCCCACAGCGTTGAGGAGGGCCCCTACTGCCTGCTGCAGGGAATCGGAAGGCGGAAAGACCTGGAGCGCCTCCGGCAGCAGCACAACTTCCTGCGCTGGGCACCCCATGAGCTGGAGTTGGGCAAGCAGCGGCCCCTTGAATCCTCCTACCAGGCCAATTTCCGGTCAAGCCCCGGACTCAGTGACCTCCCCCAGCGCCTTATCCACTTTGTGCAGATCGAGCCTCCCCGTACCAGCACCACCTACCGGCAGAACTTCTGCCAGCCATCCCGGGGTGGCCACTGTGGCAGCAACAACATGGGACCAGTCACCAACACACTGCCTGACCTCCCAGGGATCCCAAGACCCAAGCTGCTGCAGCATTACCTTCATGACGGGGTCTCGGAGTGTCTAAATTGGTCCAGAGCATTAAACAAGGACAGCTGACACAGCGGCCTGTCTGTGTTTGCAGCCCAAGGGCTCTTAGAAGCTGGAGAGCAGTAAGGCCCGTGGCACCTGTGTGCTGGGCAGGGGAGATGCTGCCCTGGGAACCCTGCCTCTGAGAGAACCCTGCCTCTGAGCGAGAGCCCTGCAGGAGGCTAAGGGTCCAGGAGGGTCACCATGGTTACAGCAGATCAGTTCTGGGACCCCAGATCCATTCTTGCAGTAAACCCAGCTGTGAGCCCCTTGCATTCATGTGGCTGCAGGGAAAGCGGGGTCCGTGGGCCCTCCTAGTGAGCAGCAAAGACTGGAGGAGGAGGCAAGGGCTGGCAGCTTTGATTTCTCTGGGAGGCTACTATGTCTCTAGGGGTCTGGTGGGAAGCCACATAGTTCTGCCTAAGCTGGGAAAGGGGGAGCCTGCCCTGGCCACAGCCCCCACTGGACCACCCCTCCCTGTGGAGGTGAGCAGAGACTTTGAGGAGATCCTGCGCAACGTGGACCTGGAGGTCATCCTGACCCTGTGGTGCTTTGCTGTAGTTTTCTGAGCTCTTCTCTGGCCGTCTTGTGAGTGCCCTCTGACACCCAGGACAGTGGAGGGCAGCAGTCATCCTACGTCACCAAAAGAGAAACTAAGGCTTAGGTGGGGCTAAGACACCAGAATACTTTGGGGGCAGAAGCCGGATCCAAAAGGCTACTCTGGACCCTCCTCCCTGGGAGAATCAAGGCCCCTGAAGGAGGGCAAGGGGCTGCAGGGGCAACACAGGAGTCCACACCGAGGGCCATACACCGGATTTTAGCAGCACTTTTACTTTCACATCTGAACTTCCTGGGTCCTCACAACAGCCCTGTGAGGTAGGTAGGGCAGGAAGGTTTCAGAGATCCCCATTTACAGATGAGGATGCTGAGGCACAGAGAGGTGAAATGACTTGCTCAAGATCACACAGTCAACAGTGTAAAGGGCCCAAAGCCAATATTCCTCTGGTCCTCTGGAGGTTCCTACATCCACTCCTCCACTCCCTCTGTGTCCTCTGACCTGTCTGAACTCTCCTGGGGCCACAGAGGCCTTCAAGGTGGCTGACAGCTAGGATTTTTCAGGAACAGCTATTGGGGTGAGCCTGGTCAACTCCAGGTAGGCACTAATCCTGTGGGGCATGAGGCCAGCTCTCCCATCTTCCCACTTCCCAGTTGGACAGAGGGCCCAGTAGTTCCAGAGCAAGTGTGGAGCTAGGCATGGTCCATGAATGAATGGGGATAAAGGTGGGTATAAGCATATGTGTCCTGCACTAAAGACAAAGTCCCCTCACCCTTTGAGACATTTGTCTCAAGTCCCTGACCCTGTGCCTCCCTCATCCCACAGAGCCACAGTGAGCTTCTTTAGCAGCAAAAGGAGCCACAGACCTGTGCCTCTGGCATGCGCTGCCCCAGCTGACACATCCCATCAGGCATTCAGACCCCATCACGCAGACACAGCGCCTCCACAGCTTGGCTGGGACCCTGGGCCACACCCCCAATGACAAACAGCCGGGGCCCAGCCTGCAGACTAGAACAGGAGCAGCGGGCTGTGGGCATGGTGGGCAGGGCCTCCCAGCGCCGCCGTGCAAGGCTGAAGCCCTCCACAGAGCCCAGAGGGCAAGGCTGGTTGCCTGCGGGAAGGAGACGGAAGTTGTAAAGGGCACCGGCTGCAAGGGCCCCTGCTCTTTTGCTTGCTGAGCCCAGAGATGGCCCAGCAGGCATCACCCCAAGATGGGCTACCAGTGCCTTGCTACTCATAGCTCCCATTCATCATTCGTTCATTTCTTTAGATTTCTACTTGTCCATTCATTCAGTGGTCACTTGTCCTGTTTCTGTCTCCTAGGCTGCTACTGGTACAGAGCCATCAATCAGGTGCTGAGGGACACCCCAAGAGTTAGGATATGCAGACTACACCCTGTCTGTTTCACAGACTGGGAAAGGGAAGCTCACAAAGCCCTGATCCCTGGAGTGTGTAAAGCAGGGCAGGAGGTAGTGCTCATGCTTGGGCTTCCTCCTTCCTGTCTTGGGCTCACCACCTATCTCTAGCCCCACAGATACTCACCAAGGCCCCCAATGGCCATGATGTGGCCCCCAAGGGAGCCAACCACAAAGTCGGCCCTCTTATCCCTCATGCGCAGGCTGCGGGGCAGCTTGGTCCAGGACCCTGCAGGAAAGGGGAGGTCAGATCCAGCCCCACAACATATACTGTGCCCCTCCATCCCATGGAAAGTGGGAGAACAGCCCAGGTAGCCACTGCTCACCGTGTTCCAGGTCGAACATCTCCACAGTGTTGACAAAGTGTGGGCGGGAGTAGAAATTGTGGGGCCCGGGCTGCTGCAGGCCACCCAGGCTAAAGACGTTGCCTTCCGCCATGGCACAGCCAGCAAAGGCCCGGCGGCTGGGCAGGCTTGGGTGCCGGGTCCAGGTACAGGCCTCCAGATCAAAGGCCTCAAAAGCAGTCACTGGGAGCTTTCCCTGGCGGCCCCCTGCCAATGGAATTGGGGTACCTGGGAAGGAGCCTGGGAGGCCTAGTAGGCTCCTCCTTCACCAGGTTGCTAAGCCTTCACCACTGCCCACCCTAGCCCCCCCATATCCAGCTGTGTGCACACCAGAGCATGGATCACCTACCCTGCAGATCCTCAGGTACTGGGAGGGCTACCAAAGGTCAGAACCTCCAAGCAAGCCTGGCTCACTCAAAGCTTCTCTTGTCCTGCCATCTCAGGCTAAACCTGATCCCAGCCAACCTATGGGGATAGGTGCTTCTGCACTTCGAGCCCCTTTCCCACATCCCCCAGGCCCTTACCCAGGACATAGATCTTGTTCCCATGCAGGAAGGTAGAAGCCCCGTAGCAGGGTGTGGGCATGGAAGGTAGCGAAAGCCAGCAGTCCCGCCGGGGCTCATATACCCGAACTTGGGCCTGGGGAGCCGTGTCTGGGCCCATTCCCCCCAGAGCATACACCATACCATCTGCGTAGAAAAGAGCAATTCAGAGTGCACCTCAGCCTGGCCAGGGCACCTTACCCTGACAGCTGCCCTGGTCAGGCCTGGGGGTGGCTGGGGACCCACATGTTTGTAGTACCCCTCCCAAGCAGCAGAGAAGCCCTCCTTCCTTCCTTGAGTGGGGTCTGGGAGAGCTAGAATTCCTGCTCTGGCCAGGGCCCCTCCAAGTGAAGAGCAGGAGGCAGATGATCTAATTATAATCCATCTCTGTCTCCCTGGAGATGCTATGGCAACCAAGTCTGGCATCTAAGCAGGACCGGTGGTCAGACCTGGAGGCCACAAGGTGGGGGCTCCTCTAGGGGAAGGAGGGTGGAGGATGGTTTCAGCCAGGGAGGGGCATATGGGGATCTGCTAAGCATAGAACTCAGACTGGGGAGGGATCTCTGGGGATCAGCTGGGGGCTAGGAGAGGGACTTAGGCCTATAGGGTAGAGGTGCTGGCCACAAGCCTTCTGCCCAGAAGCCCTGCCAGCCCCTCTATATCCCACCCTTTCATTAGAGGAGGTTCTGGCCCTGTTACACCCTCCAGGTCAGCTGGGGGCATGTCTGGAGGCCTTAGGGAGACGGGTCAGTCAGCTGAGGGCTTCCATGGCAACTATCCCCAGGCCAGTTGGCCTTCCCACCTCCAGCTCCTTGGTAAATGGGTATATGGGAGGAAGAGGGGGGGGAGGGAATCTAAGCACTTACTGGGCTCTGAGCCAAGGCCCTGCTCCCCTCCCCCTCCCCTAGACTATTTATAACCCTGAGAGTCATTGGGCTACCCCTCCTAGTCTCTTAGAGAAGAGGAATGGGCAGGGAGGTGGTTGGGGCCTCCCATCATGCTGGGGGCCAGTCTGGGCTCTGCCTCCCACTTCACAGCGGGAAAGGGCAGTGAAGGCTGCTGCTAGCTCAGCTCAAACCTAGGTAGGAGAGGGTCTTTACAAGATTCAAGGCTGTGTCCAGGGCACTCAGACAAAATTTACAGCTCTTGTCCAATCTCTGAGGGTAAGAGACCAAGTCAGAAAAGAATAGAGGGCGTTGGGGCGCCTGAGGGACTCCCTTAAGGCCACTCACCTCTCTCCACAGTTGCAACGCCCATGGCTGCCTGAGGGAGGGTGGCCCGACGCTCCCAGCGGCCCTCGTCAGCCAGGAAGGCCTCCACGGCAGCTACAGGGCTCTGGCCCTCATCCACACCGCCCACCACTAGCACCTGCTTGCCCAACACCACAGCAGCTGCACCCGCCCGGGCAGTGGGCAGGGGCGCCAGTGCAAGCCATGTATGCGAGGCCATGTCCAGTGTCTCGGCAGTGTCCAGGGGCAGTCCAGCCCGGCCACAGCCCCCCAACACTAGCAGGTGCCCATCCTGGTATGCCACTGTGCCATACACGCGGCAGGTGGGCATGGGTGGGAACACCTGCCAAGCAAAGGCCCGGCCACCGCCTGTAGCCATGGTGTTCACCTCCTGTGACAGGCCATACTATCTGCTCAGGCTGCAGGTCTCACTGAGGGGCATGATGGGGCCTCATCTTGACTCAGGGCCACAGGGAGTGTCTGACCAGTTCAGGGACCTTGCCTTCACCTGGAGGAGAGAGGGAAAACAAAGGGTCAGGGCCACTGACTTGTCCCTGAGGGTACAGTTGAGCAGTCTGTAGCTGAGGGCAGGACTGGCCCAAAATCACTGGTGGGAAAGGCACAAGGAGGACCTACCCCTACCAGCTAGCACACCACTGTAGAGGCGAGGCCCTCCTGGGTGGGAAAGAGGGCAGATTCCCAGAAACTCAGGCAACTTCCCCCCTTCCTATGGGGCATGAGGGATTCTCTCCCCACCCCCTGCCCTCACCTAAGAACACCCAACATCCTCCCCTCCCCCTTCAAATCTAGGTCGAGGTGGGAGGTAAGTTGACTAGGATAGGACATTCCACCCTGGCCCCCTTCTCTTCCTCTTGACAAGCCTCATTCTGGGGCTCTGCATGAATAGAGTCCTACTGTACCCTCCCCTTACTGCCTTCCAGTGTGCCCTGGACAGCCAGGGATCCGACTCCAGGGTATACTTACAACCCTTTTGGGGGCCATTCCATAGAGATCATCCATTCCCACCAGCAAAAGGCCAAGATCAGGGCGTTTGGGACTGGGAGGGGAGGAGCTGGACGCCAGGGTCCCACATTCCCCCTTCAGGTCTACTCTTAGGGGTTTGCCCATGCCAGGTTCCTAGAGGCCAGTCTCCTTGGTGTCCAGAAGTAGGGAGGGGGATGATTTGGGGATCCCATGAGCATTAGGACTCTAGATTCCCACAGTCCAGGGCGTTTCCAGTAGGAATGAGCAGCTGTACCTCCGAGTCCCCTCAGAGCAGATCCCCAAGTTCCTCAGCCTCTCCTTTCCCGCGGGGGCCACGCTCCTGGGACCCTTGGCGTGATGGCCTCCTGGCCCCAAACTTCCAGCTCGCGGGAGGCGGGGGGCGGGTCCAGGCGAGCGCGCTTGGGGCTCTGCGCCCCGCGCCCCAAACTTCCCCTGAGCGCGGCTCCTGCGGGACTCACCGGCCGGGGCTCCGGCGCTGCCGGGGCGCGGGGTCCGCCGTTCCGGCTCCGTGCCGGCTCTGCCTGGGGCTGAGGCCAGGCTCCGACGGGGCTCCGGCGGGGCTCCGGCTTGGCTCGGCGAGGGGCGGGGCTGGACCGGGTCCGCCCCTCGTCCCCCCTCCCGACTAGGGAAACTCTCCCCCCCGCCTTAACCCTGCACCTGCCGTGGCCAGAGCAGGGCGCGTCGACCCATAGTCACGGGCAAATCGGTAAACAGACAGATGGACATGTGGACGCTGGGCCTGCCCAGGATTTAGGGTCCGACCTTGGGCTGGGGGAGAACTGAGGCAGCAGTGAGCAGCACAACACGTGTATGGTGGGGGACCGCTCTGAGCGGGACCCAGCCTGGGGGCACCCGCGGGGTTAGGGGGGCGGGGGGCGGGGGGCGGGCCAGCAGAACCAGCAGGCTTGAGAGGCCCGCGCCCGCCCACCGGCACTGAGCTCGCAGGAGCCCTAAGACAGGCTTCGCGGCGGCGCCCCCTGGAGGCCACTTGGGGCGTGGCATGGGCCTCTGGTAGGGGTGGTGGCTGGGTAGCACTTCCCCAGGCACACAGCAAGGCGCAGAATAGGTCTTACGGTGGACATCGAGGCTAGCAGGGGTTGGAGGTGCAGGCCTCAGTGCCTGACAGGCCCTTCCACAGGCCTGGGTGGGGGAAGTTCTTGCTGGGAGGGTAGCTCTGAGCAAGGGATGAGCTTCAAGTGTCAGAGGCCAGGGGACCTCCCAGGCAGGTCACTCTGTAGGGCCTGAGGCCTGGGCTACTATGGGACCCAAGACATTTTGTGACAGTTCATATCCAGGGTCCTGGGCCTGCCTGTAGCCAACTCTGGGATCAGGTGAGAGCAAGTGGTGTGACAGAGGCCTATCTATTTCAGACCCAGGCCCTGGCCCAGCCTATCTTCTGGGCATTCAGAGTATTGGCTAAGTCTGTGAGCTGCGGGACCATTTGTGCAGGTTGGTGGTCACCTAGAAGAAATCCTTGCTACTATCTTGTCCCTCTTTCATGGACGGTGTGTGTCTCAAACCCCCAAGAAGCACATCTGGAGACAAAGATATCAGTACATACAGTTAATGTGGGAGGTGAGGCCAGGAAGCACCAGCAGAGGAGTGGCAAAAAGAGAAAACAGCCAATAAAGGCTGTGTCATCAAGCAAGTTACCACTGTGGGCAACTGGGACCAAATCTTGCTGGGGTCCCTCCCAGAGCAAAGGTTGCTTGAGGAATTCATTCTCAAATCTCCATCAGTTGTGGGTTAAGAGCTGCTTGAGGGCATTAACTCCTTGGCTTGCCTAAATTCTGAAGCCAACCCTGAGTGTGGGCAGAGCCTTTTCATGACCAGAGAGAGTCTCCAGCCCCTTTTACAGGCTGGCAATTGGAGTTGGAAGGTCTCTACGGAAATGGCGGTACCAAGGCCAGTTACAGAACCTAGCTAGAAGGCTTCCATCCTCTCCACTCTGCTCCTAACATACTCTTCACTTAAGGGAAACTTCCTCCACAGGGTGTTCACATTGCTCTGCAAAACCCCTTACATTTCCCACTCTTCCCTTTCCAGCAATTAAGCACTTAAAAGCCTCCTACCTTGAGATACCTCCCAGGACCCCCAATCCCTCCATTTCCCCTTCCTCTCCTCCAGTCACCTTGATATCTGCTACCTTATGTCCAGCAGTGAGCAGAACAAAATTGCTCCCCAAAATTGCTCTTGCCAAAGTCACTATGGAACACCATATAGCTAATGCTATGGGTCCCTATGGTCTTTGTCACAACTGAAATCTTGCTGACATCTTCAAAGTTTCATTTCTTGTGAACTTGGCACCTCTGCTCCAACTCATCCCGCTTCTCAGAGTCTTTTGAAGGCCCTGCTTCCTCTTCTCCCCAGGAAGTAGCTCCTCAAGATCCAGCCCTGGCTTTTCTCCTTGGCACACAGACTCCCTCCTGGGGTGAGCCCTCCCAGGCCCACTGGCATCACCCACAACTAGATGTCCACCAGATCTCTCTGGTCAGGTGGAAATGGGTCTAGGGCCCATTACTCAGGGCTGTAAAAGATGCCAAATGGAGAGCAAGGGCTGGATCCTGGGATGACCCTGTGGTCTCTACCAACCTCATCCTTTCCAATCCCAGTTACACCTACAGGGTCAGCATCCACCAAAATTGAGGTCAAGTCGCTCTTTGCTCTGATGAATGCTCCCAGAGTTCCATCTGGGACATACTGAGCACCAAGAGGCAGAAGGCTCAGCTTCCCCTCAGGATGCTAGGTACCCATGACCCTGACCCCTAACCCCTACTATCCCCCCAGTTCTAATGTCTGCAAGGGATACAGCCTGGGGATGGACCTTCCCTACCTAGTCCTCTATTTTGCACTGAACTCTGGGCTGGACATCACCAGAGAGGGATTCCCCATTTCAGGACACACCTAAATCCATGCCATCCCTGGAGGCTGGACTCTGACTCTTCACGGGACTGGCTTCTGTTTACACAGTGCTGGCACCACCTAAACACAGGAGGCCAACACTGCTGGGTTTGGAGAAGCTATGGAAGACAATTTGTGCAGAAGGTGAGGCGAGATTGGTCCTGAGAGTAGCAGCTAATCCTCAACCATGGATGGGACAGAGACAGGGCTCACCCACAGTTGGGGACTGGGCATACTAAGGTGGGACTTCCTGATTGCACCAGGATACCCTGGCCCTTGGGACTCCACACTTCCCTTCTTTCTAACAGGATGAGGGGTTAGAAGCACTAACCCCAAAGGAACGGGAGAGTTTGCATTTTACTGTTGGACACCTTGGCTATGCTTGAAGGCATGAGGACCTCACTGTCAGTGCTGAGGCCCTGGGAAGCTCAAGAGTTACCAGATGAGGCCTAGGGTGGGTTGGGTGTTTCTCTTTAGGGGTGCCTAGACCCTTCTGTATCAGTAGGCAATGTAGAGCAAGTTTGAGGATCCTGGGGTCATACGGGGAGGGAGAAGAGCTATTAGCCAGTCCCTAAATGAAGCATCCACCCACCCTCTTGTGACCGCCCACAGGCTTTCACCTACCCCCAGCTACCAAATATGGCACCATTGTACATATCAGGGTCCAAGTGTTGTGGCAATATTTCTGCCTCCTAGTTCAGGCTCTGACTGAAGTGCAAAAACCAGAGCTTCCATGCTGGCTCCCAACCTGGACTTGGGGGGGGGCCCTAAGAGGGGCCTTTGGTTAGAGTCTGACCTCTTAGACTCCAAGGGTTAATTTCAACCTGTGTCCTCTCATCTGGTGCTGCTTGGGCAGTGGGCTCTATTACCACCAGCCCTCTGCTGACCCCAGGGTCCAGGTAGCAAGACTGAGGTCCCAGTCTCCTAGGCAAAAGGACAAGGATTCTGCACAGGAGAGACTGGAGGCAGGACTTCCTGACATTGAGGGGGCTGAGGCTGGGCAAGGGTTCTCCCACCACACCCATGCACATGGTATGCTAGGCATAGTACACTGGTATGCTAGGACTCTCAGATAGGACATGCCCAGCTTTGGGGTTGTGTGCAGCATGATGTGTGCACATCAGCCTTTCATCCCACATGTGGGCCTCATTCTTGGGAAGAGAGGAGGGCCTGCTGCCCTTGAGGAGACACCCCTGCAACACTCTCAGGCAGGCAATGGGGCATTCCTCTTTCCTTCTGGTCAGGAGCTTGGGACAGAGGCAGGCCTTGTCCGTGGCTGTGGGAGGACCAGAGCTTGGAGGATGGCTTGGAACTTGCAGGGAATCCCTCCCAGATGTCGCTGCACCACCAGGTCCCTCAAAGGGGGTGTCAGTTAGGCCTTAATCCAGTCCTAGGAGGGCTCCTGTGCAGTCCTGTCTGGGACGTGTCTGAGAGCATCACTGTTCCTCAGACTCCTGCACAGGTCCGGATGGATTTAGAGCGTTCCCTGCGGCCACCTCCTCCAGGAAGCCTTCCTTGGTACCCACCTGCCCTGCCCCCAGACTTTGGGGGAAACGGGGTCTCGGGGGGTCAAGGGTCACTGGGGCGGGCCAGGTCCCGGAAGCGGAAGTGCGGCGCGCTTCCGGTGCGCAGCGGGCGGCCATGTTGGAGCAGCGGAGGCGGCGCAGAGGCGCGTCCTGGGTCCCCGCGGCGGCGCCGGTAGGTTGGGGCCATGGGCCTAGCCGCGCCGCGGAGGGGCCGTCCGCGAGGCGACGGGGCGGATGGGCCGGGCGGCCGGCTCTTTCGAGACCCGCGCCCTCCACCGGCCTGGCCAAGACTCCCCCCACCCCTCTACCCCTTGCCCAGCGACCCCACCCTGGGGCTGCGCGACCCGGTCGGGCTCGCCCCGCCCGCCCCTCGCGTTTCGCTGCCTCCAAGATCCCTGCTCCTATCCGCGGCTCGGGCCCCAGGGACACGGACTCCCAGGCCAATGGCCCTGATCGGCCCCCAACCCGGTCCCCCCTTGGATGAGGCCTCTCCCGTTCCCTGTCTTTCATCAACTTCCCTGTCGGCCCCGGGGGCAAGTGTGAAGGGAAGTCCGGGGCCAGACTGCAGCCTCTGTTTCCGGAGCCTCTTGGAAAGCCCAGAAGACCCCTCCCAAGAGTCTAGACCGACCTGGGCGGAAGAGCCCCCAGTTCACCCCCAGTATCTGTGCCTGCGGGGAAACAGGCCCCTCCCTATTCAACAGTTCACAGTCCTGGGAACTACACCCCCTGGAAAAAAAAAATAAAAGAACTGAAGTCATGTGCAAGGATTGTGCTTGGAGAATGGCCTCTGGAGAGAGGAAGTGCCCGAGACACCTGAGGATCCAAGAATGTTTCCAAACAAAGAGCCCCAGGGCACTTCCTCCAGGGGATTCTGAAAACTTCCTCTGCTCCATTAGGGCAGTAGGAAGAAGCTGCACAGACGCGCCTCCTGGCCCGGGGGACCTGCCTGATCCCAGCTGATCTTTTAATGCTCGGGTACAGCTGGGGAGCTCCCTCTGGGAGCCCTCAGTGTTGGGTTGGGTGTTAGACATTAGTCCTGACTGACAGCCTATGGCTTCTTCATGAAGAAGCCTGGGACAGGTTGGGTGTTCCCAGACAGCTCCATCTGGGCTGTACTGAGGTCTGCAGACCTCCAGACCCTAGTTAGGACAGCTCAAATTTCTAGTGTCCACCTTATTAATCATCCTGTTGGAGCCTTTGGCTGTCAGACCTTGGGCTCTTGGTCTGGCTGCCTGGCCCCCAGGCTGCCTGATTGCCAAGACATGTGTCTTGAGCACCTGCTACTTACCTTCTTAGTTTCTGTTGAAGGAGAGTCTGACTCTTGCTTTGGGGTTAGTCTCCGTGGTTTCAGCACCAGGATCAGACCTCTCAGCCTGTCTGGGTACTCCAAAAGCAAAACTTCTGGTAGGCAGGGAGGTTCACCCCTGAGCACCTGAACAACAGCAGCTGGAGGAACAGAGATGGGCATGACTTCAAGGCTCATGTTGTCCTGCTCTTAGCTATTTTTCCATCTAGACCTCCCAGCCCTGACCACAGACTCCAGTCACACACATTAAATGTGCCTTACTGTTTCTCATTTCCAAGCCATTGCATAGGCTGTTCCTTTTTTTGCTCCATTTCCATCTGGTCCTTCCTATTCATCAGTCATGTCCCATCTAGGTGTTGCCTCTCCTAGGAATCCTTCTCTGACTCAGTGGCAAGCTGAGCTGGGTGCCAGTGTGCACTCCCAAGAACTTTGATGGTCTCTGTCTTGCCTTCTATATAGGGCTTCTTGCAGACATACCTGCGTTCCCAGGGTTGAGTCTAATACCAGGTTTCTGGCCTCAGAAAATGGGAGAATTGAATTAAAATGGGCCAACCAAGCCCAAATCTTTCCAGGGACCCAACAGCAGGTTGGATGGCTCTCATGAGCTTCTGGACATTTATCTTGAAGAAACTGCCTCTGACCCGTGTGGGTGCCCCCTGCCACCCCAGTCCTCACCCTGACACCATGGTAGTTCAGGAGACCAGGATTTTGCTCCAAGCAGTGGCTCACTCTGGCCAGGCCCTTTGTGTCGATGGTTGTTAATCATGGAGAGTGCAGGCCCTGATGGACTTACCTACCTGCCTTGCCCCTTATCTCAGTGCCATTTTTTTGTTTTTGTTTTTGTTTTTAACGTAATGATATATTTTCTTTTTTTTTTTTTTTAAGATTTTTATTTATTCATTTGAGACACAGAGAGAGCATGAGCAGGGAGAGAGGGAGAGGGAGAGGGAGAAGCAGGCTCCCCACTGAGCCAGAAACCCGATGTGGGGCTTGATCCCAGGGTCCTGGGATCATGACCTGAGCCGAAGGCAGACGCTTAACCATCTGAGCCACCCAGGCGCCCCAATGATATATTTTCTTTAATGCAATATATCCATAGTATTACCATTTTTTGTAAATAATCTCTACACCCAACATGGGGTTTGAACTCACGACCCCAAGATCAAGAGACGCATGCTCCACCAACTGAGCCAGCCAGGTGCCCCTCGGTGCCGTTCTTATTGATTCTTTTCCTCTTGTCTTGGAGGTGCCGAGCGCTGGTTTGTGGATACCCAGGCAGATCTGCAGTGCCTAATGCCATGAGCGTGGTGCAGCATGTGGAGGAGAAAGCTGTGCACTCCTGGTCGCGGATCTCCACGGCAGGGAAGAAGGCCCTGGAGGAGGCGCTGCTTGTCTTTAACCCCATGAGCCAGGATCTCAGTGCCACAGAGGCCCAGCTTGTAGCCTTCCTGCAGGGCCTGCGGGATGATGGCTTCCAACCCACCATCCTGCGCAGCGGTGATGTCTATGGCTATAGTTCATGCACAGCCAACCCCCCAAGCCAGACGAAGCTGCAAGCCCGTGCCCCCACCCCAGCTGCCACATCACCTCCAGCCAGTGCTCCCCGAACTGCCATGCGGCTGCCTGCAGGCCGGGCCACGCTGCTCCCTATGCCACTATCTGGAAGGCTGGCCAAAGCATCCTCACCAGCCCTTGCCAAGCATGCTACCACCAACCTGCTGCTGAGCTCCCTGAAGCAGTCAAGTGCCAGCCGTGCCCGGGGTGCAGCAGTGGGCTTCCCTGCCCACCTCTATCCAGGTGTCTACCCTGCCATGCGGCTCTCTGTTGTCCTTGAGGCCCTGGTTCCACTAAAGACTCCCATGCCCTGCTTGGGTGCCAAGCACAAGGCACAGTCACTGCAGCTCTCACTTGCAGACTCTCCCCTGAAGCTGCGCAAAGGTCCAGAGAAGAGGCAGGGGAACTGTCGGTCCAAAGCTCCCAGAAAAGCCACAGGCAAGGGCCCTAAGTGTCTGACTTACAGAGGCCCCAGGGCCAGACCCCAACAAGGCACTACACCCCGGAACAAGACCTACAAAGCCACTGGGTCCCTCAGTGGCCTACGAATGAAAGGTGGCTCTGCCCTGGGCACCAAAACATCCCAGGCCAAGGCAGCTCGAACACTGGCCAAAGCTGCCCAGGCCAAGGTGGCTCGAACACAGGCCAAAGCTGCCAAGGCTCGAGCAAAAGCCAAGGCAGCACAGATCAGGGCCAGGGCCAAGGCGGCACGGATCAGGGCCAAGGCCAAGGCAGCACAGATCAAGGCCAAAGCCAAGGCAGTGCGGGCCAAGGCCAAGGCAGTGCGGGCCAAGGCCAAGGTGGCTCGGACCCAGTCCAGGAGCAGGGGCAGGCCAAAAGGGTCTGTTCAGGCCAGGACTGCGAGGAGGGGCCCAAAAAGCCGCCCTGAGACTGTGGGGCAGAAGAGGAAAAGGGCTGAGGAGGCAAAGGATCTTCCTCCCCAGAAAAGAACACGACTTGGGCCCCGATCCCCTAAGGCGTGGCTAGGGCCTGGAACAGCAAAGCTGCTGAAATTCCGGGCCATCAAGGTGGACAGGCGGTCCTCGGACGATGAGGTGCGGCAGCGGGCTCAACGGATCCTCCGTGTGAACCTGTCCCCTGTAATACAGCTCCAGCCATTGCTGCCATACTCAGCACCCTGATTCCTTCGCATAGCAATGTTTGGGGAAACTGAGCCCAGTTGTCTGTGTGGCCAGTGGCACAGTGTGCAATGCCCATGGATTCTACAACCCCAAGGACTCCAGGTGCCTCTCCAGGGCCCTGAGAGCCACCATTCTCCTTTCAGAGACTGGAGGATATGGGGTGGTATGGGTGGGCGGGAGGGGTGTTCTCATGGCGCGATGCACTGTGATTTGTTACTCTTCAAGTTGTACCTCCACTGTTCCATCTATCACGTTTTATACCTTTCCACCTTCCGGTCTCCCTGCCCACCCTTCATGGTCTTTTTTGCGTTTGTAGCTGCTGGTGGGCCAGCTTGAGCATATAGGAAGAGTGGCCCCAGGAACAGGGCTGCCAAAGGGGGTCCTGGTAGCCTGAGACAGGTCATCAGTGTGAGTGGGAAGAGTAGCTCTCAGGCTTCTCTGGAGGTGCTGGCCTCTGTCGATGTGTGAGAAGCAGCCACTGAGGACAGGGGCAGAGTCACTCGGAGGTGGCACACCTCCCCATCGGGCTGCACTGGTTTGTTATCCAGGTAGGCCCTATGCAAGAGGACAGTAGGTGGCTCTGTGGGGAACCGTGCAGCCAGCAGGTTTCTAGGCCAGGGAAGGCGGGGTTTGGGTACTGCTCCCCAGGGGCCATTCAGACAGCCTGGCCTTGTCTCCTAGCCTGCTCTGGCTGAAATCTTGGGGCTTTACCTGAGCTTGTCTGGGGCAGGGCCAGGCCTAAATTAGCTAAAGTACCTCTGCCTGTCCTTCCAGCCTTGACTTCCCCAGTTGGTGGCAAGGGTTTGGGGTTGAGTCAGAGGCCAGGGCTCTGGGTTGTTCGGCCACTGAGTCTGTCTTCACTGACTGCAGAATTTTCTCCTTTGATCAGTGGGGTACTGTGTTAGCTGAGCCAGGAGAGTTTCTACAACTGCTTCGCCCCATCAGCAGTGCTTTCTGCCTGAGTCCCAAGCACTCTGTTCCCAGGTCCAGCCTTATCAAGCTTCCCAGCAGGGGCCTGTGTGTATTTCAGACACTAAAGGCTCTTCCTGCTTTGGAGAGGGGGCTGGGCCCCCGGAACAAAACTAGCTCCCCGCCCATCTGCCAGTCCTTCCCCGTCTGCCTGGCTTGAAAGGCAGTGGCTGGGGCTGGCAGGGAGGGGGACACATTCCCCAGAGGCTCCTAGAGACCAGCAGCCTTTCAGGGCTAGGGATGGGAGCCTCATTTGAATGAGAATTGGATCTCTCCTGTCTCTGTGGGTTAGTCTGAACCCTGACCCCACTAGCGCCAGCTGCATTGGATGGCAGACCCGTAGAGAAGTTCTGCTTGTTTTTTTGGTACCCCCTCCCTACCTTTTTTTCTGCATCTGGTGGCTGCCATTAGTAGGGTATGGCCTCCCTGATTCCCAGGCTCTGGGGACCCCCTTGCTCCCAGCCTCACCGTGGCTTCACAAACCCTGCATGCTCCTTGTGTCTGGCAGTCCTGCTTTCATCTACCATGTGAGTAGGGGGCCACACCCAGTTCCTCAAGGGCAGCCTGCTTGGGGCCCACTCTATCCTCTCTCTCAGGCCTGATTCCAGCTCATGGCCCAGGACCCCCAGCCCGGCTAGGCCTCCTCCTTCGCAGTCTACAACTCCTTTCAGTTCTGCTGCTGCTGCCACCAATGGGTGAGAGGTTGGCTCTTTCCCTGAGAGCCATCCAAAGGGGGAGAAGAACTCTCCAGGCCTCCCTGTGGGGCAGAGTGAGGTGGGGGGTATCCCTAGGATCTCTACTCAGACCTTGTCCTTCCCAGTCCAGGCTCCCAGAACAGTTGCTGAGGAGGTGCCAGACACACTTTCCCCACCTACTGACAACTTGATTGTTGGCCGTGGCCAGAACCTCCTGAGCCCTACTGCATTGTCAGTCACCTACAGGTGGGGAGGAGTGTGAGGGCTCTGGAGATGGTATCTCTGGGTTTTCCTGGGCAGGTTTGGCCTTGCGGGGGGGTTCAGGTCATTGTTGGGGGCTGGAGAGGGGAGGGCTGTGCTGTGAAATTTTGGAATTGGGGACCAACCACATACCTTTTGCCTTGTCATTTTCCTTGGGCATTCCCCCCAGGAATCTGAGAATTGCTTCTTTTGTGACTCTCGGGACCAGGGAGGCCATGGCATTGAGAATGTGATCTGGAGTGGTGGTCGTGACAGCAATAAGTAAGACCTGATGGCAAGCAGAGAGTGGTGAGGGTACACGTGTGCCCATGTGTTCAGGTCTAGGGTCATGGCCTGGTCACTCTGACAAGCCCTTGTGGTTGCAGGTGTTGAGAATGTCACCATCCAGCTGGACCTAGAGTGCCTTCTACTTTACCCACCTCATGACTTTCAAGGTGACCCAATGCCCCAGCCTGAAGGCTTGCTCTGTGCCTCCTGACCTGATGGCCACCAGTGATGCTTGCCCCTGGTGACCCAAGGATCCCCTCCTGTCCCCTGGCGTTCTGCCCAGCAGCTCTGCTCCTGGAGCGCTCAGTGGACCATGGCCACTCCTGGCGTGTGTACCGATACTGTGCCTACAACTGCTCAGGCCTTTTTCCTGGGATCCATCTTGCTCCTGGCCACAGAGTCAATGACCTTGTTTGTGACCAGCATTACTCTGACATCAAGCCTTCCACTGAGGGCCAGGGCAGGCCCAGAGGAAGGGGGGTTGGGCCCTGGGGTGAAGCCAGAGGCTCAGGTTTGCTTTCTTCTCTCAGGTAATTTTCAAAGTTCTGGACCCAGCCATTCTGGTGGAGAACTCAAACAACCCCAAGATTCAGGGTAATTGTCCCCATAGCCAATCCTGTACTCCTTGCATGTTAGGACAGCCAGATACTGGGGGGAGGTGAGGTCCTGCCTGGGTGTGTACACAAGTGGGGCAGGGGTGGCAGGCAAGCCAGCATCATTCCCCAGCTCTGCACCATCATGGTCCTCTATTGTGCGCCCTGTTATCGCCCTCCATTCCTATCCCATCATTGTTCCCTGGACCTGTGCCCAGTGCAGAGGGACTGGCACGTGTAACAGTTTCCATCTCTGCCCCATCATAACTCCTTTGTGGGGCCCCATTGTAGTTCTCATCGCTACTTTCTATGCCAGCCCCAACAATGTATCCCATCACTGCATCTATCACTGAACATCATGACTGTCTCCTTTATGAGCCTCCGTCACTGCCTCCATCCTGGTCCCTTGGCATTGCCCTCCCCTGATTTATCATCCAGGCCTTAGTTTGTACCCTGCATCTCTGCAGCTGCCTCTAGGTGATGCCAGGGCGTCTCTGGGTTGTGACCTCTTTCTTGTAAGGCAGGAGTCTTGAAAGACAAGAGACACATAACCAAAACCCAGCAAGGCAGCCCAGAGTCAGGTCAGGCGAGTACCAGAGCAGGACATAGCCCAAACTAGCACTCTCCACCCACCTTGACTGGTTATTACCAGCCACTCACCAAGTCCCCATGCTAGGTTTCCAAGCAGCTGTTGCTCTTCTGATCTGATCACGGGAGAGACACCTGGCGAAGGAGGGGTACAAGAGATAACCTTGGCTCAGTAACTGACATAAGCTGTGGAGCAGAAAGGAGCCATGGACCCATCTCTCCCATGTGTACATTGAGAAAGTGCCCATTGAGCTCCGCTGTGTACCAGGCATCTATCTTCTGAGCAGGACTCAGTGGGAAGCAGATGGACAAGGTATCTGTCTTCTTGGAGCTGACATGAAAGTGAGAAAAACTGGATAAATAAGCAAACATACCATATATGGTTTGGCTGGATGATAAACTGATTTCTAGTTTTGATGATGGGCTGGGGAATGGAATGCTTTACTGCATTGGGGAAGTAGGTTTCAAATATCTAGTGATGCCAGGACGGGATGTCCAGGAAGCAGTGGGATGTGCAGGTCTCAGCTCAGGAGTGATACCAGGGCTGGAGCCGTGCAGAAGTGGAATTACCACCATTAGGCTGTAGTCATCCTAAGATGGCATGCCCAGAGGAACAGGAATGGGGGAGTCCCACAGCATGAATGCTGGAGGAGGTGGCCATAGTGACACAGATAAGAGACTCTACCCCCATTCCTCCCCCTTCCATCCCAGCCATAGAGGGATGATGACTAGTGCATCTGAGGTCCCCCAACCTGTGTCTCCAGACCTCCTGAGTATGACAAACCTCCGTGTCAACTTCTCCAAACTGCACACACTGGGTGACAGGCCATTGGGGGGCCTAAAGCGACACCCCTTCTACGACTATGCCCTTTATGAGCTCGTGGCCAGAGGCAGCTGCCTGTGCCGTGGCCATGCCTCTGAGTGTAAGCGCATAGCTGGGACCCCAGCCAATGTGAAAGGCATGGTGAGCACCATGGGAGGGGCATCCAGTGGCTGGTGGGGTGGGCAGGCTGGGGGGACTGGGGCAGACTCATCTTGCCCTCCTCCCTGGCAGGTGCATGGCCTTTGCGTCTGCCGCCACACACAGCTGGTACCCACTGTGAGTGCTGCCAGGACCTGCACCAGGACCGCCCATGGCATACAGCAGAGCCTGGGCACCCTCAGCCTGCCAGGGTAGGTGCCATGCCCTCTCTGCCTGGCCATACTTGCCCAGCTCAGCCCACTCCATATCCACCTTCCTTGTTCTGCCCTAGAACGCAAGTGCAATGGACATGCCCGCAGTTGTCACTTTGATGTGGCCTTGTATCTGGCATCTGGCAATGTGAGTGGAGGCATGTGTGACGCATGTCAGCACAACACAGCTGGGTGCCACCGTGAGCTCTGCCAGTCCTTCTGCCGAGATCCCAGGGAGGATCCCCGGTCCCTTCATTCTTGCAAATGTGAGCCCTCCAATCCCCAATCCCAACTCTGACCTCGATCCTTCAGCTCCGTGGTGACCTCTGACCTAACTCTGTCCTCACCTCTGACCCATGATGCAGCCTGTAACTGGAACCGTGGGGGGACCCTGGAAGGGGGTTTGTGTGATGCCCACACAGATGAGACCTGTGGTCTCCTCTCTGGGCAGTGTTGCTGCAAAGTTCATGTCTGGAGCCAGCGCTGTGACTTCTGCCGACCTGGTCACTGTGGCCTCAGCCCCACCCAAACAGAAGGTTGTCAGCCTGAGTTATCCTGGGAGCAGACCCCAAACCCCATGTCCTTGCTCTGCCCCCAGTCACTGCCATAAGAACACATGCATGCACCTACCTCTGCAGCAGTCCCAATAGCACCCTGGGAGCCCTGTGCCCTAGCCTGCAGGTGTCGTGACCCCTGGGGCCGGGTCCCTGGCACTCATGCCTGTGATCCCTCCAGTGGTGCCTGTCACTGGCAAACGCTTTGTCTCTGGGTGGGACTGCAGCTGTTGTCTGGTAAGCCTTGACCCACCTTCTGATTTGACCTTGATCTTGGGCATTGAGCTTCTAGAAGCTGATAAGTATAAGGCTATAATCAGTGTGAACGTAGACTGAGCCTTACACATGGGTTGGTTCAACTCCCTGATCTGGTTATCGGGGTCAATGCACCTCAGCTAGCTGAACCAGCATATGCCCTCAGGTGGGAGCTTTGGGGGCATAAAAAGGAAAAGCGATAAAACAAGTTACAACAGTATTGGTTTAAAGAACTAGGTTTAAAAGTGTTTTGCAACAAACATGTTTGAAGGAACACTCAGTCCAAGAAACAATTCCATCCCTTTTTTGCCTCTCCTTGAATGTAAATCCTTTGTTTAATTTTTACTTTAACCCCTGCAGTGTCCTCATCTTACCTCTTACGAAGTTGTGCATGAGTACCCTGGGGTCTCCTCACCCCCTCCCAGCAGCAAGCAGAGGAGCATTCAAGCCCTGTGCTCACGCCCTTTCCTCCTGCAACAGGCAGTCCCAGTACGTGACCTCCCAGGCTCCAGATCTTCCCGTCCTTTCTCCACCTACTTGCTTTCTCTTACAGCCCGAGTTCTGGGGTCTGAGCAGCAACTCTCTGGGCTGCCGGCCCTGTAATTGTGACTTTGGGGTGCCTACAGCAACAGGTACAAGGCAGGGCCTGGGAATTGGGATCAAGTGGTAAGAATCAGGAGTTGACTCCCCCTCCCTGCCCCCATGCTTGCTCAGGTGTTCTGCTGGGGAGGGCCTCTGCCCGTGCCGCCCTCACCTCTGTGGCCGCCGCTGCCATGAACTCCAATTTGGGCACTTCTGTGCTGCTTTTGACCAAGCCACTGCTGAAGCTGAGCTTGACCAGGTCCTCCAGCCAGCTGACCCCCAGGTGCCTGTGAGTGTCCAGGAGGGGTAGGGGCAGGGGCAGGAGGAAACCAAGGCCCAGACTTGGTTTTCAGGGGAGGGAGGGAGTGTGTAGAGAGAACTAGTTGGAATAAGAGGCTGAGCAGGGTTAGGAAGGTGAGAAAGTCCAGGTGGGGGTGTCAGCATGGTCAGAGGTTTGGTGTCTTAGAACCCATATTTTCAGGGCAGTGTGGGAGAAGAAAGGGCCAGAATGTTGGAGGGCACTGACACCCGGCTTGCCCCCAGGGAGCCCCCTGGCCTGCTCCTGCCCACTGTACACAAAACTCAGGGACCTCTCCTGGTTGTCTCTGGCCCCGACTGGAGACAGTGTGACCCTCCATGTGCCTGCCACTCTGCTAGGCAAGCCTATTACAGCAGTCAGCTGCCCAGGGTGAGGAATCTGAGGAACAGGGTGGGGTCATAGGTTGCTAGGGTCTTAGTAGGGATGGGGCCCAAGCCCTGGGGATATGGGTCCCTGAGGTCTTGGGGTAATGGGAACCTAAGTCCTGAGGGTCCAGGTCATGGGGTGATCTGGGCCTGGGAGTCTGTGTCTCACATCCAGGCCCCAGAGGAGCCCCTGCCCTTGCAGCAGGGAGCTGGCTCTGCACCGTGGACTGGCTTGGGCTTTGCACATGTGGTTGATGGGGCCGGCCTCTCTCTGCTCGGGCCCACAGTGCCTCGTGTCATGGAGCATGACATTGTCCTGTGCTGTGAGACCAAGGTCTGTGACATAGGTCCCAAGCAGGTGAATGGGTGATGCTGGGTGGTGGGCAGGGGCAGCTCTGTGACTGCTGATCTCTAACCCCAGGCAGCTGAAGACTGGCAGGCATTAGTCTGTGTTCATGCCCGGTCCCTGTCCAGGAGCACCTGCTGTGCCCATCTGCGCTCAGAGCAGCTGTTCCAGGTGGCCTTGACCTACGCACACAGGTAGGCAGGACCCTAGAACCCCCAATAGCAAGACCCTATTATGCTGCCAACACATTTGAAACAACACTCAAAGTGGAAAATCTCCAATATGGAATATCATCATGTCATAGAGCAGTCAAAACAGGGACTGAACGTAAAACATCAAGATTTAAGAAGTTGGTCTTTTTTGCATGGGTCATATGATGAAATACTAGATGCAGCAGAAATGGGACACCCCTGAGACCACATGATCATGGCCTCCTTATCCCACCCTTACTCCTTCCCTGCTCTCTGCAGAGCTGTGGTTTTATCCAGACCTTTCTGCTTTGAACTAGGGACATGCTACTCCCTGATCCTGAGGCTGTGCAGGACCAAGGGGATGCGGAGACGAGAGGGGGGCACTATCCTTCTGGATTCGGTGAGGTCCTAGGGGTTCCACCCCACCTCTGGGGGGGACAAATTATAGCAGAATGATGTGGATGCAGTAGGGCTGGGGAGTAGGCGTCGCAGAGGCCTGGAGTTGCACCAAGAGGATGGAGACAGGTGGATAGTGTAAGGAGGGGGATCCAGGCAGGAGCAAAGCATATGCGAAGGATAGAAGATGAGAATAGGCAGCCACCAGACCTCCAAAGACATATGGGCACTGTGGGGCAGTGGGGAGCCATGGAAGGGACTTGAACAGGGAAGATTCATGGGGGAGAATGGATTGCAAGGAGGAGGCTGCTGCAGTGATTCTGAGTGAGAGGTGGCATTGCGTGGACTAGATGGGAGCCATGGGACAGGAAGGAGAAACAGACTCAGAAGAGAACTAGGAAAGGGGTAGGAAGGGGCTGTGAGATCCACTACAAGGAAGGGTAGTTAGTAGGTGATAGTGAGTGGGGCTGGGCTCACTACCCTCTGCCTGCCACCCTCCACCCTCCTACTAGATTGTGCTCTTGCCGTGGGTGAAGGAGTTGCCTGGGCTGAGATCTGTGGACCCTGGGGCCACAGAGCACTTACAGGAGCTCCACAAGGCAGGCTGCGTGGAGGCAGCAAGGACTGGCCTCCCCAGCACCATGCCTGAGGTTTGTGCCCACCTTGTCTGCAGCATCTTGGCCCTGCTCCACGGGGGTGGCCTTGGTGAGTATATCCCCCTGGCTTGAGGGGGCTGCAATATAGGGATTGCAGGAAGCACCGTGAGGTTCACTTTATCTCGCTCTTTTTCCTGCCAGCATGTGAGTGCCACCCCCAGGGTTCCCTGAACACTGTGCACCCCGCTAGGTGGGCCCTGCCCCTGCCATCCCAATATCATTGGTTGTACCTGTGACTGCATGTCTGAAATATACAGCATCGGGCCCACTGGCTGCAGTGGTAAGCCTTCAGGGCCAGCGAGGATGGGTGAGGGGTCTGGGACCAATCATCTCCTTTCTCCGCAAGGCTTGACGGCCCTGTCATTCCCCACAGAGTGCCACTGCCACACCGAGGGGCCACTAGTACCATTTGTAACCCTGTGAGTGGGCAGTGCACATGCCAGGCAGGCCTGGCTGGTCACCGCTGTGCCCACCGCCTCTCTGGCTGGTGGGGTTTCCCTCTCTGCCAGCCCTGCACCTGCACTGGACACGCTGAGTTGTGCCAGCCACTCACAGGGGTCTGCCAGGCTTGCCCAGGAACCACCACAGGCTGGCACTGTGCGAGGTGAGCGCTGTCGCTGGAAGGGCTGGGTAGGAATTATGATGAGTGGGCCACGTCCCATTCCATGTGCTGCTGCCCACAGGTGCTTGGACGGCTATTCTGGAGACCCCACCCTGGGCTCAGGCCAGCAGTGCAGACCTTGCCCCTGTCCTGGGCACCCTGGCTCTGGCCTCTATCATGGGATTTCCTGCCATGTGGACAGTGCGAGTGGACGTGTCCTATACCTCTGTGCACCTGGCTATGCAGGTGAGGGCTGTTTGGCAAGGGCAACCCGGTGGCCCTGCTCACTTGTTCACAACCTCATCAGGTCCACGAGGCAAATCTTTGCCAGGGCCACCTGTATGTGGAGCTGCAGGCTGGGCACGTCTCCTGGAGGAGTTGCTGTTCAAGGGAGGGAGGGGCAGATGGGAGGAGCTATAGACCTGGAATTTGTAAACCAGGAAGGTGGGCTGTAATGTAGCTTCTGTGTTCTCTGCCTTCTTGGCTCGACCTCAGACTTTCTGGCTGCATACGTGGGACCCACAGGCCACAAGGATACAGGAAGGCACCTGAGACAACCCACCCATACCTCGATCCTTTCTGGGCCCCCGCTGCGACCGCTGTTCCTCTGGCTACTTTGGGCGCCCTTGGCCAGGGGGAGACCCCAGAAGGAGCCCGTGCTGGCTCTGTCAGTGCAACAATAATATCGGTCCCCGTGATCCTGCTGCCTGCGACGCCCACAGTGGGGACTGCCAACACTGTCTGCACCACACCTAAGGTCCCAGCTGTGCCCACTGCAGGCCTGGCTTCTATGGCAGTGCCCTGCGTCCAGGGGGCTGCCCGCGTGAGTGTGTGGCTAGGATGGGTGAGAACACCCCAAGGCGGGTGGGTGCGTTCTCTTTCCTCAGACCCTTCCTCTTCCCCAGGCTGCAGCTGTGACCCCAGGGCACTGTCCCTGCACGGTGTCCCTCTTGGGCTGAAGCCTGCTTCTGCAACCAGGTCAGTGGGCTGTGCTCTTGCCGCCCCCACACACTGGGGCAGGACTGTAGCCGCTGTGCCCCTCTCTTCTGGAACCTGGGGGGACTGTGAGCCCTGCAACTGCCATGCCCAACACACTGTGCAGCCGGCATGTCACCCAGGGAGTGAGGCCACGTTGCACATAGCTTGTGGCAGTGTCCGGGTGTGAGTGAAGGTGTGTGTGCCTCTGACAAGATGTTAACTTGTGGCTGGTGTGAGTGTTCACATGACCACCAGCACCGGGGGGTGTGGCTGCAAACAGCTGTGTGAGTCTCTGCTTTTGTGTGACATCAGCTATAAGATAATGGCGGGATTTGGGGTAAGGCAGACATGAGACCACACGTACCTGACCCCACGTGCAGCCATGTGCTGTGAATGGGTCCCCGCAAGTGGACTGAACGTGGCAGGGGCTGGGGGGGGAGGCTGAGGAGACACAGGTGAAGGGTGAGGATTGAGAGCTTGGCCACTGTGAGCAGGAGTTTCCAGGAGGAGAGTAATCCGCGACCAAATGAAACGAGGCCTGACGTGTGTGCTCTTATGTCCTTGGCAAAGAGATGGTGGGAGGCAGGGTGAAGGAGACATCAGGGTGAGACAGCGGGGTGTTCGGATCAGGACACAGAATAGCAAGTCAGGAGTTGAGAACCCAGAGGGCCTGTGGGAGGCTGGCAATGTGGGAAGGTGGGGGCTGGCCAAGGAGGTCAGGCCAGAGGAAGCAGGAAAGGGAGAAGCCTTCGGCCAAGCACAGGTGTGGATGCTGCCCAGGGCAGGAGCAGGGCAGGGAGAAGACTCTGTGCTTGGTATGCATACACTGCCTTTGAACACTCGTGTCCTTCTCCCTGGCCCAGAGGAGGCTGTGTACCTACCCACTGGCCCACACTCTCTTCCCTCAGGTCCCAGGTCAGTGCACCTGCCAGGTAGGATCGAGGGTCGCACATGCTCCAGGTGTCAGGATGGGTACCGGGGTGACCCAGAGCAGGAATGCAGAGGTGAGAAAGCCACTCACATGATCCACACCACCAGGGATGATGTTTCCCTGAAGGGGCCCAGTGTGGAGTAGCAGGGGAACAGTGGGGCTTTCCTGAGGGAGAACACAGCATGTTTATTGATGTTTCCCCCCCAATTCAAAGAAATATTCATGAAAAGCTGTTGGCAAGGCCAGGTGGGGTATTCCTACAGAGAGCACACATCAGGTGGCTCTTTTCTGAACCCATCTGGCAGTCCTGTACCCCAGCTGACCCGTGACGACTGTAGAGCTTCCAGAGCATTGTGCTGTTTCCCTGCCCAAAGGCTGCCATGCCATATGGCCTCTGTGGCCAGGGAAGATGCCAGTGCCCGTGGTCATTCTGAGCAGTGGCTTAGGCAAAGGCTTGTGTGCACCCTCCCACTCACACAGGGCTGTTCTCCAGGCTTCTTGGAGGCAAGGCTGGGGCAAGAGCTGCCTGCTCCCCTCCACAGCCTGTGCCCGTGACCCACAGGGCTCCATCTTGCCCAGCTGTGATCCACACACAGGTGCCTGCTTATACAGAGAGGGCATCTTGGGGATGAGGTGCCAGGCATGTGCCCGTGGTTCCAGAGGTGGCTTCCCACACTGCATGTCCTGCCCTACCTGTTTCACCTCCTGGGACCTATGTCTAGCTCTGCTCCAGCTGCAGCTGGAAATTGTGGCCCAGAAGGTCACCTCCCTATACCAGGGGATGCCTGACTGGGGTGCTAGGGGCCAGGGTGGACACCTGCAGGCCCTGGAGGGGATACTCCAGCAAGCACAGATTCTCCTGGAATCTTCTTCACCTTTGTTGCGGGGACTCTGGAGCAACTTACGGAGTAGATAGCTGGATTCGCCAAGGGGTCTTGGGTCAGTAAGGAGGAGGTCTCCAGCTAGCTTCTCAGGGTTGGGGATTTCAGAAGGTCTCAGGTTGGCCTGTCTGAGTCCTGGGTTTTGGAGTTAGGTGGGTTTTCTTGAGTGAGGAGTCATGGAGGAGAGTACATGTCTGGTCAGGCTGATAACTCCATCTTCCTGCGGGAGGAAAGTGACTGCATTGGTCCAGACACTGTGGGCCACAGGGCAGATTGTGGCAGAAAGAGAGCCATGGGTTAGGAGGCAGTGTGAACAGCTGGAAGAATTATCCCAGCAGCTAGACTGTGTCAAGGGCTTGGCCTGGTCCAAAAGGGCCACAGGAGCCCAAGGTGAGGCCTAATGGGCAGGCGGGTGGGCAGGTGGGGGTAAAGGCTAGGCTGGGGCAGAAGGAAGGGGCCAGGTGCGCTTGCTTATGTATCTGGGGAACCCAGAAGGCTGATTGGCCCTGCCTCAGCCAGTGGAGCCCTGAGTCACCTCTATCCCTCACTGCCATCCCCTGCAGATGCTGCGGCCCAGGTCTCCTCAGCTGCCCTGCTTTCCCAGGAGGCCCTGCTTGAAGCCCAGGTTATGGCCACATTTGGAGAACCGGACAGCAACCTGGGAAAGGCCCGAGAGGCCCAGCGGTGGATGGAGCAGCTGCTTCGGGGGATGGGCCAGCCAGGGACAGGGACAGCTGTGTGGGAGCTGAAACTGAAGGAGCTGGTCAACAGGGTGCAGATGTTGCATCCACAGCTTCTGAGACTCCTAGTCAAAGCGGGAGTGGTGGGTGGAGATATGGATCACTATAGGGGTTTCGCCAAGGCCAGGACTCTCTTCTAGCCATAACCTGGATGTAGGGCACTAGGGCATTTGGGACATGCATTTCTCACTGGATCACCTGTCTTGTTTGCAGGAATGCAGGGATTGGGGACCTGGGATGGCTGTGTTCCTGTACCCTGTGTTGTTCCCTCTTGCCCTGGGACCCTGCCCACTGCCCAGTGGGCTCTGCTTGCTTCCCGTAACTCTTCCGATAGCCTGGACACAGCTGCCACAGCCTTAGAGCAGCATCAGCGACTGGTACAGAGCCACTGGGGCCATGAATGGGGGCCAAGGTGGGGGAGTCATAGGGAACCATAGCTTGGCCATAGGGTTGCAGGAGACACATTCCACATCTTACCCACCCCTACCAGATGCAGCAAATCCAGGCCACAGCAAGCGCCACAGGAATCCAGGCCCAGGAGACATGGCATTGGACAAGGGGGCCCTGGGGTGTGGCCACCATAGCGCATGTGCAAGCAACTGTGCAGATCCTCCTCTTGGGTACCTGTCTGCTTGTTGTGTGTCTGTTCACAGCTGAGGGCAGGGGCAGGTGGGCATCTGGGATACTGCTACGATACTCCTTCCAGAATGAGGAATACTCATAAGGGCTGACCAGGGGTCAGGTGGGAGCACTAGTATGCAGGTAAATATTTAACAATTGGCTGGAGGTCAAAGGGAACTGATTTGTAGTGTTTGCTAGTTTCCCTGGTATAAGTAAATCCACCATGGTTGACTTTAGTCTAACTACCGTTTACCAGCTGAGTCACAAAATTCGTGAAAATTTAACGTTTGGTTCTTGTTAGCCCTTAGCACACCATGTAGTCATGTCAGAGGCAGGGTCAGTGAGAGGTTAGGGTCAGTGTTTGTTGGGTCAGAGATCAGAGTTCACATCTGAGATTCCTACCCTAATTCCCACAGAAGAAGGAGCAGATACTGCAAGTGTGGAGCTCATGGCATGGCGTGGGCTGGGGGTGCCCCTCCCCCAAAATGGGGCAGTGGGCATTGCCCTCCGGCTGGGTCAGATCCAAGGTGCCCTCCCTGCACCAGACATCATAGGCCAGGAACTGCCCAGAGCTGAAGGTGTCCTCCATCAGGCACAGGGGTGGGGATGGGGTGGGATAAGGGTCAGATGGGAGGGTCAGAGTCAGAACAGGGATGGTGTGGGAGGGTCAGGGCTGGGGTCAAAGTTCAGAACAGGGGTCAAATGTTGATTAGGGTTAGAGCTCATTTAGGTCAGAGTTAAGGTCATGACAGATTTGAGGACCAGGGTCAGAGATTAGGGCCAAAGGTCAGAGCGTGGCTCACATGACCTGATCCTCAGGGTTGGAGCGCCGCCTGGTGCAGAAGGAGCAGACACTGGGCAAGAAGATAGCCACGCTGTGGGCCCTGGAGCTGCGGGCAGCAGAGTTGCTTGAGCACATGCGGCTATGGGCAAATGTGAATGCCACCTGCTGATTGCAGTCTATGGATGCCGGTAAGACAGACTCTGGGACTACCTGAGTGACTCAAAGTGACTGACCCAAGAATCTCCTGACCTTGAGAGACCAAGGACCCCACTGAGTACCCATTGACCCTGAGTAACCCCCCATGGGACCCCATGATATCCTCCAGTGATTCTCTGTCCTTAAGAAACCAGATATCATGTAAAACTCAACAGAGGTCATCTAGTGCCTTTGACCCTGATAGATCCTTTTCTGAGTGATCTAAAATTCTGAGTCACCTCTAGTATCCCTGAGCCCCCTCAGGTTGACTACATGAGCCCCGGGTA